CATTCACCACTTTTATTCACTCGCCATACCTATCGAACTTCCACCACCGCCACGTCTATTAACAACAACGACGTTTACCCAGAAGACAACACAAAAACAGGACAAAAGTACCCAGACCTTGTACATATTGTAAATACTGTAAAAAAAAACATCTTGTAAATGCGTAAAACTGTAAATATTGTAAAGAACATGAGAACGACAAATTGTAAAATAAGCATCTTCTGTTCTGTTAGCAGCATTTTCACTTTATTTCTGATGTGTGTAAAATTCATTTTAAAAAAAATTGTTATGTATTTTTCCCACAAAAATTGGTTATGTTTTAATGGCCATGTACGTATGTTCACTTCATGTGTTTTGTCACGGATCAGACACGAGCTGGGGTAACCAATCCCTGGGGAGAGCCCACAGAAGCATTAACAGTTCTAGAAACATTACCAGTTCTATTGCGCAGCGAGGAGAAAGACTCTCTGTTACCACCACAACATCCACACTCACCATTTGCCGCCCCATTCCCATTTGCCCCTGGCCTATTCATCCCACCCTTCCCATAACAACCTCAACCACCACCACCAGCATCACATGACCAACACTTCCCCCACCACCATCATCATCATCGTCATCGTTACCACATGTTCCACGATTCATTTACTCAACCCCACACCACACAGCAAAAAGATTTTTTGGGACCACTTTTCAAAAAGCTTGGTAACCATTTAAGTCTTTACGATTGAAACCTGGGCTCCAACCAGGCTCAAAAATGGCGGAAAATGTGATTGTCTATGTGACTGCGATTTATGAACACCTCAGTTTACAATACGGAATTCGCATTGTTCTTGGATAAAAAGCGTACAGATGAGTTTCATCACAATACAGGAGAGGTAAGTACATATTGTAGAGTAATTTACGTTTTTCTAGTTCGCTTTAAGGTTAGTGATGATGAAGAAATGGTCCCAAAATATGCTGCCAAGTCTCCTACACGATAATTTGGGAACACTTTTTACTTTGCCGAACTATCTTAAATTTTTTGAAAGTGAGAAGTACGTAAAAACTGGAGAAGAGATTGTTTATCAGCTTTAATACTTTATAATCTCAATTCTTTTGCAGAATTCAATTTACCACAACCCCATTTACATTGGGTTAAAAAAAAACATGTTGAATCATGATATCCTATCACAAAGTTTTAATACTAATACAAGTAGGTGGGAGCCCAATGTTCACCTAAGAGGCAAATTAATTATTATAACGGCTTTTTGTGATCCTTTCTCTAACAACAAGTACTGTATTTGTTTTATTATTTACAAACTGTATCATTGCACTATCTATCTCATCATTGACTACGAGGCTACAGTTACTTTTGGTACAGATTAGTTAGTTATCTGCTAACTTCTATGATTTCAAAGAGTAATGTCAAAACAGTTCTGTACGCTGGCATATTTGTGATTAATTATTTCAAAACAATGTGCAATAAAATGTATTATTATATTCAGTTTTTATGATATCCAGAATAAGCAAGGTCTCGGTACGTGTTACCAGCCTTGGCCTTCAGCTTGGCTGATATAAGACTTACCTCAATCTTGATCATTCCGGATATCACAAAAATCGAATATAATATTCTAACCCCAAAAACCCATGAGGTTTATCCTAACAAACGGAATACATATGGAATGGGCAGTAAAAAGTGGATAATAATTATTTGTGTGGCTCCAGACAATATCCATACAAACAAATCTAGGAATTATGGGAGGAAAGTGAGTCCAAAAAATGCCAACTTTATGAAACTTTGCGGAAAGGCTACAGGTGAGTGAGGTTTGTCCATGAGTGTCTAGGGGAGAAGGGAGGGTAGAAATCCAGAAAACTTTCCGTGAAAAAAGTATGGATATTTTTCGGGAACAAAATATTGATGCGAAGTTCACATCGTTTATAGAACCAACTTGAAATTATGCTAGCAAGAACTGACCTTTAAAGGCATGAACGGCTGTCTGTAGAGGTCACATTTCCTGTTATTATATCTCCAGTACATCATTGTTCTGTCTTTATATAGTATATCTGGTATCAATGTTAATTTCAGCATTGTAACTATATCACCATAGCCGTATGTTTCTTCAACTTATACCTTCACAGTTATTAATAATAATTAATATAATATTGATTTAACTTGATTAAAACATGCTGTCATTATGAAATTTGATCTCATAGAGACTTAAGACAGGGCATGGTTCTTGCTGCTCTCTTGAGAACTGTCTTTGTTCTCTCCAGGGAGAAGCGTGGGTCCACTTCCCTGAACAGCACCCGCTGGTTGAGCCTAACTTTGACTGACTTGCAGTTATTGGAACATTTTTCTCCATTGAGTACATGTAGTTTTCTCAAAGTTGATGTTAATCACGTGTCACAGACTGATGGGATGCTTTTCTGGCTGAATTAACATGCAAAGAACAACATCTGTAAAAGCATTAAGTTAAAACTGGAGCCCAGAGCATGAAGTTTGAGTTTTAACTATAACAGTAAAACCCCGCCTTATGGCCAGCTCGGCAATGCGGCCGCCTTGTTATTTTTGGCCACCTGGCAAAAAGGCCCATACATTTCCTTGTAAAAAAAACCCTTGTTGATACGGTCACCTGTCAATACAGCTAAATTTTTTTGGCCCATTGGTGACCATGTTAAACGGGGTTCCACTGTATTAGCGGGCATGTCCAGCATTTGGAAGGTTCAGTTTGACATTTTCTGCCAGATTACGTTTGCGTTTTGAGCTGGAGGCAGTCTTTCTTAACTTCAGTTGCTGTTTGTCACCTTTTCTTAATCCCTTTACTCTGTTTAGAGATGGCTTTCGACCTGGCACTTGTGATCTTGAAGATTTTGCCTTGGACTTTCGTCTTGATATTGATGTGGGCTGCACTCGGATTTTGGCCCTACTATTGTGAAGAATAGGTAGGGTTAGCCCATTTCGATCTTTCCCAAAATTCACAAAAGCTGTTGCAAGTGCTGCAACTGGAGCCTGACCTCTTGCTTTTGAAATTATTTTTCTATACACTTCCATATATTTCATATAGCAGGCCCTGAAGTTGTTGTCAGTTGTTTTTAGCTTCAATTCAATGTCATCGGTTACTTGTTTGTGCAGTTTGAGTATGTCTTTCAATTCCACTTCTTTCTTTGGTGATGGGCTGCCACAAGAGTCATCTGCTGGAGTAGCCAATGAGTCTGTGTCCATGGGTACAACATGGTCATTGCTGTCAACACACATGTCGATGGATGTCCTTTCATGCAGGTGGACAAATTTATGTAGCTGGAGTTTCTGATGGTTTCCAATGGCAAGTTTTGCAAGGTTAAATCTTTCTTCGGGTTTCTGTGGAATGAAGTTAATCCCTGCAATTCCATATTTTAGGGCAACAGCAGCTTGATGTGCACAGGGGTTGCCATTGCTCCCCATGGGGCAAGAACAGATACCAGTTTGGCAGTTGACCTCATAGGTGACTCCTGAATCAGATCTGCTGGGAACAAGGAATGTGCAAGGGGTCAGAACTGCTTTGCGTGATCATGCTAAGCTGTACGGTTAGGCGCCTGTTGCACCAAAGCACCTTGGAGCTAGATGGAGATTCTGTGTTTTGCCAAAAGCAAGGGCGAGCAGTTTCCTTTGAAAATACATTTCTAGGTCTTCTGTAATAAACTTAAAGAGCTCAATCAAGTTGTATGCTCTGATACAATGAAGAATCACGCTCTTAAATATGTTAATCATTGATTCAGTGTAGTTATCAGTGTTATTTCCCCTGGTTAATAGGTTTCTTCTACAACAGAGGGCCCATTCTCGGTGTCGCTTTAACGACCTTTTTAGGTATTTATGAAAGTTGGGATACTTGACATTACGCTTATCATTTAATGCAATTTTTGCTGCTGAAAGAAATTCTTTCTCTGTCCCTGAGTAAACAAGTTTCTGGAAATGACTCATTAAATGTTGGCGATCGTCTTTGTTGATGTTGTTGTTTGCATTGAATAGCCAGCGCCAGACAGCTTGAAGAAAGTGAAAAGTGCAGAGTAAAAGTTGGCATTCCTTCCAAATGTCAGAAAGAGCACCCCTCTGCCCTTGGTCATCATCAGTCATAAAAATTTGTGGACCCATTTTTGGCCCTCTAGTACCAAAGGCATGTTGGGGCAGAACATTTTGGAGCTTTTCCAGGCATTGTTTTGTTACATGTTGTGATTGGCCAGATGTAATCCACACACCCAGTGGGAGAGCTCCAGCGGGGTGGTGGGTGCACATAAAGTAGACTGGGTTGTTAAATCGATCAAGGCTTCCGGAAGCATCAAGGAAGGCCATTTCACCTGCCTGTGTTAAATGATGAACCCTGCTCATAAGGGGTGTGCATATTGCAACAATCAATGGCTTCTCTGAGTTGCCAGAGTTTTCATATGTTTGCAGAAAGCATTTCCCTCCTTTGGGAGAATTTTTCTTATTATACTCATTAATAATGGCTTCAAGAGTGTTAAACATTTCTTGTCCATTAGGGGCCCCCTTTCTGTCAATTTGCCATTTACCATACAAGTTTTTCACATCGGTAAGTGAGGAGCAATATTTTCTATCTGCCAGTAGCATTATTGACAGAGAATCCTGCATAAGCTTTGTCTCATGGTGGTGGAAGGCCTTTTTTTTTTGGCTTTGCAAGAGTATTTCCACATCATTTTCCTAGGAATGTAATTATCTGTTTTGTTTCCATTTTTTCCCGTTTCTAGTATAATGGTACTCATCCTTTTTTGCATAATGTTATCAATTTTATCACATATTGAGTGTGTGCAAGCCAATAGCCAATCCCAATGTTCATTCACTTTTCCAGTATTATTTCAGCAGCAGCACATGATCCCCCTGTAGAGACTTTCAAAAGGATAGCAATGTATGGATTTCGAGATCAATGATATTACAAGAAATGAAGCCTCAGGTCCACGAAACCCATGTAATAATCAACTATTGATCCATGTTAGTTACACGCAGGAAAGTGACAGTCATGTACAGCTTACTTGTAGCACATGTATGGTGTCTCCAGCTGTACTGGTTGGCTATGAGCCTTTACAAGCTCCTGAAGACTGCTTCCCTAATGAAAATGTGATTAAAATCATTTGAATAGCAGAACAATTGATTTTCCTTGCTACTTTTCCCATTCCCCTTTTAACCCCTCAGTCAGTATAATTCATAATTAAAAGAAAGTACAAAGGAGTACAAAGTAATGGAAATCTCCCTATCTTTTCACCCTTACGCTTATATATTTCTTATTTTCTAAAAAGTTTTTTGGAAAAGTAGCAGTAACACCTCCAGGTTAGGAGAAGTCATTCTTTACGGTGCAAGTGTTTGATCTCTTGTGACAAACCAGTGTCTCATGTTTCATAATTATATTACTTTAGAAAACTTAATCAATTATGTGATTTTTTACAGCCTTATATGTATGTTTTGTGGCTTTCATAGTAACACTGTATTTTCCAAGCGGCTTTCATTATTGACTTTTGACCCCTGTGATGGTTAATTTGGCAAGTAATTAACAAGATGTGATCAGTATGTTAACCATGATTGTTTAGCATGCTTTCAAGATGTATTTTCAGAAAATAAGCCACCATATCAGTGATCATTTGCTGAGACCTAACATATCTTCTCTTTTCTACTTCTTCATTATACTACACGTAGGTTGTTACCTGGGCAAGGTGAAGAGGAAGAAGTGTCTCCATGCTAGAGTTGCAGCTCACAGTGTTACACTTCAAGCAAAGTATTTCACTTCTCAGATTGAAAAAAAATGTTTTCAAATATGACAAATCAATGTGCTGGGGAATGAAACCATTGTTTTGGCACTCATTGAATCTATAGCCAAGATAACGACAGTATTCCTGAAAGAACTCAGCAGCACATTGTTGTACCCCTTTTTGAAACCTGGAGTTTATGTCGGGAAGCATGCTCATAAGAGTAGCTGGATAAACTAAACCAGGAGCAGTCTCATAGGCAGTGGTGAAGGATTTGGTGCTACACACAATGCAAGGTTTTCCTGTGGAAAATCAATTAGAGCAGAAAAGAATACTTTGGATTGCTGGGGAAGATAAATACAAGTTATTTTGACTAGGATTATTTTTTTTTCCTTGCTGATCACTTGTACTTGATTGGAATACTTCAGAGGGGTGGGGGAGTTACATAGTGTTCTGTTCTGTTGTACCAATGAAGTGGACAATTTTTTCTGTTGATTTAATGGTACTTTTATTCCATGTCTAAATTATTGTTTTTTACATACAGACAAATATATTTATACACGAGGAGCTTGTGACACCCTAGAAAGTTTGTAGGAGTTATTTTCAGTATTTTCAGTTTCTGCCAATGTGAAGGTTTTGATAAGGTTCTGTGTTGCACTTCAAAATTGTTATATTATTACTCCAACATCACAATCAATAACATTATTATACCAAGAATGCTTTAAAGCATTAATAGCCTGTTGAAGTTTAATTCTGCCTGGTGGTGTTCATCACATTTTGCCTACTTATACATAACAATATTAGATGATAATAATAATAACAGAGGCATAACCAACTTTTCCACTAGTTGTAAGCCTGGTCTATTGCCGCCAATAATTTCATTTCACATGTCCTAAGAAATTCTGGTTTACAACTCTCTTGATTGCAAGCGTGACTGGTATGCACTGAACTGACCTAAATTTAGAGCTTTTTGGCTTGCCCAGACAACACATAAATTAGGCCACATTTGATATATTCAAATATAACTCTAACATGACTCCAAGGATTTCTGATCATTCCTCTATACTTGGTCTCTTTTTTTTGTGCTCAAGTCTCCGGGAATTGGGAGACAATTGGGTTGCGAGAAATTTGCAGTTTCCACCCTAAAGCCTTGGAGTCATGTTAGAATTTTTTCATATATCAAACTTGGGTTATTTATTACAAGTGGTTGAGTGATCCAACCAAGAAAATGTAGGCCCCAGGCTATGCCCCTAAATAAATATAATTATATTATTGTTATTATCACTTTTATTATAAGATAATGTCCAAGGACTGAGCTTATTTTCTGCAGAGGCTTTTGAGTGAATAAAACTGAACCAACATTCTTTCAGTGACCAAGTTTTCTTTTTTTGTGAACTTTGGGCTGAAATAACTATTTAAGTGGGGAATGGGTGAAGGAAAACCAAACAATTTTTTTGGCTCTTTAGGCCTCAGTGTAGTCTAAAAATGGGGGGTGGTGGGTGTCCCCCACCCCACCCCACTAGATCCGCCACTGCAATAGCAAAGATCACCCCTTTGAAATAGTTGAGTGTGAGTATGCACTTGAGCAGTCTAGGAGAACTTCAGATATACTTGCATGATGTTCAAAACTGACGAGCATACTTTTCTAATAAAAAAATATACAAGAAAGGAAAAGAGGGGACTACATCTCACCTGTTCTTCTGGCAACACATTTGTCTCTGCTATGTTGAGTGCCTTCAAGGCCCTTTGAAAACCTTTTCACTGATAACAAAGCTTGCAAAACACTATTTGCAAAGCAAGTATTATTTAAATTCTGAATGCCTTTCGGTTTCAGACACATGATGTACACCGATCCTTAGGGAAGTGAAATGGAGTAGCAGACTATAAACTTTACACCGAACAGAAAAGTTTTGTTATCTGTCGTCGACAGGCAACTAAACAGAAAGAACTGTGCGCCAAATTCCCGCCAAAAATATTAAGTTACAGAGAAAAATGTACATAGAAACGTCATAACTGTAGTATCTCAGATTTCAAAGTGGTCCCCAATTATCTCTGTTGTGACTGTCCAAATATTTTGGGAACACTTTTTACTTCGCCACGGGTAATCTTTCTTCATAATCTTCTGGAACAATTGGTGTCCTTCTCTTCCAACATTCCAAGCTTTAATCGCTGTCGTTCCGCCACTGAAATGAAAGGAAAGCTTGCTCGAAGGGAGCGAAAAGAAGTGAGAACTAGTTTCCGCCATTTTGGAGCCCTATTGGAGCCCAGGTTCCACTCGTAGAAACTTGAATGGTTACCAAGCTTTTGAAAAGTGGTCCCAAAAAATCTTTTGGCCACCACACACGGGTCAGATCTCATTCACTTCTTCCAACACAAATCCTCGCCATCATTTCATGACAATGAGGCTTCAAATGCCATGCCCTTCACACATTCACCACCTTTATTCACTCGCCATACCTATCGAGCTTCCACCACCGCCACATCCATTAACAACCACGACGTTTACTCAGAAGACAACAGAAAAACACGACAAAAGTACCCAGACCTTGTAAATATTGTAAATAGTGTAAAAAAAAAACTTCTTAATGCGTAAAACTGTAAATATTGTAACGAAAATGAGAACGACAAATTGTAAAATAAGCATCTTCTGTTCTGTTAGCAGCATTTTCACTTTATTTCTGATGTGTGTAAAATTCATTACAGGACGCTGTTACAATTGCAGTCGGACTAGCCATTTGGCCAGACAATGCCCATCGTCAAGACGGCTGGGAAAAAAGGAACAGAGCTTCCAAGGACATAGTAGTTATCCATCATAACCATTATTATAATGGACATACCTGTGTGGCCTTTCTAAATAATAGATGATAACAGTTGCTAAATAATCCAATTTTTCATCCAGTGGAAATTTCAAAGTTTTTGAGAAGTCTGGATGACGACGAGTAGCAAAGAGTATGTAACATTCATTTTTTATCTGTATTCACTTTTCTTTTATAGGTAGTCCCCGTTGAAGGTTTGTGTTTTAAACCGAAAGATTGGGCAAATATAACACACCAATTTTTTTTCCTATCACTCTTCCTGCCGTAAGGATCAGTTTACTGTTTAAATTTTAAGATTTTGCTGATCCAGGTCTAATGAAGGCCCCGCTGACCCGTGTCACTGGTTTTGCCTTCCCAAATGTTTCGCCTTGCCTTTTCCTTTAAATTTCGATTTTAATTCCATGAAAAATGGATTCCAAGATAAGAGTATTTTTCTTCCTTTTCATTGGTCACCACGTGACCTGCAGTTGACGAGTAGGCAGCCGCGTGAGCAATAAAAGTGTTTGTTTGAAAATCTAATGCCAAATAATTTCCTTAAAACCGCTGTTCTGATAAAAAAATATGAATTGTAAACTAAAGCTTTTCTCCCAAGAATTCTACTAAAAAAAATTGAGGGCATGCAGCTACATGCGCTAGCGTTATTGTAATTAGACCAATACCTCCCTTTACTATTCTGTTAGCACTCTTTGTTGTCTTTGCAGAGAGAGAATTTCAAAATGGGTATGTATTTTAAGCTGTGTCGAAAACATTTCCATTCAACCTTTTTTCGTGTTCAGAGTATACGTACTAGAGAACGACACCCCCGCCCCCCCCAAAAAAAATACAGAAGTATATATCATAATAACATTTAAGGCAACATCTTTAAAAAAACGGCCACCCCCTATATCACTCATATGTTTCAAACTTATGTTTCATATTTGAATATTTCCATATAATACCCTTGACGCCTAGACTAAAATTTGGATTGACTCGCTAAATGCCGCATCATGCAAAAAGCTGAGATCCGCACGTGAACAGTTGCTTTCGGGATTAATTCGTCTATTTTGCAATTCTTGTGTTGCTTTGTTTTTCTTGTGCGATACATTTCCCCTTTCACTAAAACTCTGCATTTCATTTTGAATGTTACAGGACGCTGTTACAATTGCAGTGGGACTAGCCATTTGGCCGGACAATGCCCATCGTCAAGACGGCGGGCAAAGAGGAACAGGGCTTCCAAGGGCATAGTAGTTGTCCATCATAACCATTATTATCAGACACGAGCTGGGGTAAACAATCCCTGGGGAGTGCCCCACAGAAGCATTAACAGTTCTAGAAACATTAAAAGTTCTATTACGCAGCGAGGAGAAAGACTCTCCATTACCACCACAACATCCACACTCACCATTTGCCGCCCCATTCCCATTCGCCCCTGGCCTATTCATCCCACCCTTCCCATAACCACCTCAACCACCTCCACCAGCATCACACGACCAACACCCCCACCACCACCATCATCATTATCATCTTTATCACATGTTCCACGACTCATTTACTCACCCCCCACACCACACACGGGTCAGATCTCATTCAATACTTCCAACACAAATCCTCGCGATCATTTAATAACCATGAGGTTTCAAATGCCATGCCCTTCACACATTCACCACCTTCATTCACTCGCCATACCTATTGAACTTCCACCACCGCCACGTCCATTAACAACAACGACGTTTACCAAGAAGACAGCAGAAAACAAAACAAAAGTACCCAGACATTGTAAATATTGTAACTAGTGTAAAAAAAAAACATCTTGTGAATGTGTAAACTGTAAATATTGTAAAGAAAGTGAGAACGACAAATTGTAAAGTAAACATCTTCTGTTCTGTTAGCACCATTTTCACTTTATTTCTGATGTGTGTAAAATTCATTTTAATTTGCCTTTTAAAAAAAATTGTTATGTATTTTTACCAAAAACTAGACATTATGGCAGACATAATGTAATTTATGGCAAGGCATGATACTCACATCATAACTCACTAGGTCAGGCTTTACCAGGTACTGCAAAACTATGCAATTAGGTTATAGGGCGGTGTACCACCGCCACGTCCATTAACAACCACGTTTACTCAAAAGACAACAGAAAAACAGGACAAAAGTACCCAGACCTTGTAAATATTGTAAATACTGTAAAAAAACATCTTGTATATGCCTAAAACTGTAAACATTGCAAAGAAAATCAGAACGACAAATTGTAAGATAACCATCTTCTGTTCTGTTAGCAGCATTTTCACTTTATTTCTGATGTGTGTAAAATTCATTTTAATTTGCCTTTTTAAAAAAATTGTTATTATGTATTTTCACTACAAAAGTTGGTTATGTTTTAATGGTGATGTCTGAATATTCACTTTATGTGTTTTGTCAGGGATCAGGCATGAGCTGGGGTAGCCAATCCATGGGGAGTGCCCCACACAGGCTTTAACAGTTCTAGAAACA